TCGAAAGACATAATCGCGTCTCACCGTTTGCACTTTCAGCCGCGAACTCATTATAAATTTCGTCGCTCGTCAGAGCCGCCGAGCGTAGATATCTTCGAATCTCATGGCCGTGCGGTTTAACTTAACTTGAAAATTCACACACGGTCGAAACTCGGGTGCGGAATATCTCCTGATTCGAGGATAATCTACTGACGAAACTGATTTTTCGCGCGAGCACGTGGGAAAGGTGAACGATTATTGCCTAGTTTCTCCGAGTTTTTACGCTGAACACGCACCCTACCGTTTTGTCTCAATACGTGTTATCGCTTCGATATCATTAGACAGAATAATTAAATATAATTAAATAGAATGACTTTAAAATTAAGTTATCTCAGGAAACTTCCTCGTTTAAACAACGTAGGAAATGCAAGTAAATTCAGCTCATTAAAACATTCCTGTCCTTGATTGAAATGCCAGAACAAATTGCACGGTAAAAAGTTTGTCCGCGAAAAGGTCGCGAGCAATACGAGCACGTGTACACACAGACGGCCGTCGATTCCATCGGCGATTATATTATATCATATTTTGAATGTTCGGTTTGAAATTCGGCGCAAAAAAATCATTGTGTATAAAAGCGCTCGTGCGTATAATGAAATTCTGTGCTCCGCGTTTATGCAAATTATTCGCACGATTGCAAAACACGACGAGTTGCGTGTGCGGTATGAAGGAAGTCGCGCGCACCGTATTAACAGCTTGTCAAAATCACAGGGAAACATAATCCCGTTTATCGATCCAGTCCAGCCAATTAACATTACAATAAATCTATCGACGTGGGGCAAAAGCGGCATAATTTACGAATATATCTTCGCGGTACACCGTTCGTGAATCGATCGTGTACTATGTGCGTGTGTGTGTAAACGCGCGCTCATATGTATATATGGGTCGTAATGCGAATGTGGATCGGCAGACTTATTTGTCGGCACATATTATCATTATGCGCGTTTCTTATGCGCATATCTAAACGTCGCGATTTTTCACATTCACCGTTCCCGATCGCGAAACAACGCGCGCGCGTTTATCGCCGCGAACAATATATGGGCGTCGAGTCGATATCTGCTCTTTAAATTTCTTCTTTAAAAATCTCACTCGAAACGTCTCATATTCGCATCAGTCATACGGGGCGACGATCGAGGGGAGAACGTTTCAGATCGGACGGTAATATCGCGGTCAACAACTGGGAGGGAAGAGAAAGACAGATCTTATACCATCGTTTAACGAGTAATTTTCAATGTTCGCGCAATCCTCCGGCGAATTGTTCCACCAGGAGCCGCTTAGTGATTCTAAAAGCCTTCTCTTTCTCTCTCACCTCTCTCGTTGTATCAGCTCCCAGCCGGTGTGCAATCTCGCCTCACATATTTCATTACACCGACCGGTCTCACCCTAAATATTGCCGGCCGCTGTATTATTTACCGTTCGTTAAGTGTCGGCTGGTTGCCGGAGATGTTCGGAAGCGTCGAGAGAGCGCCCCGACCGTTTAAGTTCACCGCGCGGCGGGCAGGTATGCGTGCATACACGCGCGCGTTAATTGCGGTTGCAACTTAGTTGAGTTGCGTGCGCTCTCATAAGGAAGAAGAAGCCCTCGGGGGGGTGTTACAGTAGAAACTGCGTCTTACCTTAAGACGCGCGTGCACGTTAAACGGGCACATATACACACCACGCCGCGCGCGAGACCATTCGGATTTCATGCAAATGGAACATCAATTTTGCGACCTCGCATCTCGACGTCGAGCTCAAACGCTCGAGCGTGAAATTATTTTCTCCTTATGCAACGATTCTATCGAAATATCGTTTCTTCGCGAGACTGCGCGCGCGGCGACAAGCGATAAAGTCGTGAGCGGTGCACGCAAAAAGTGAGTTAGTGTAATTGATTTTTCTTCGGATGAAGAGGAAAGAAAAGGCTGCTTCGTAAACGCGTCGAGATCTCGTCACGATACGAGAGAGGAAATCGCGCGAATTCGGAACGTGTGCGACCTTTGTGGGGTAATCTCCGCTAATTATCGGACGGTTAACAGCCTGTTAAGCTGTGCCGGTTATTCGATTTCACGTCTCTCCCACGGAAAATTCCCGCGCACGCAATTAACGTCGTGACTGCTCGTAGCGCACGAAGTCGTCGAAAAGAGCCGCGCGTCTCTCTCTTCCTTCGCGCGCGTGTTCTCTTTCTCTCTGTCCTCTGTCTCTCACCCGTGAAATGTTTAACGTAATTTTATCCGTTTAACCTCCGCCGGCAAACATTATTTTAGATAAGATAAAAACGCAGCTGTAAATTTCGAAAGCGTCAATAAATACGTTACGTTCGATCGGGCCTGCGATGAAAATTTTCAACATTCGTCGCTTTATGTTGTTGCGTAAAATAAATTATCGCTCACAGTTTGCACCTGGTGCTAAATTATGTGTCAAGATAACAGGTCGATGTTTAACTTAAAGTACTTTCTTTGACACTTGCGCGATATTGACGCTTGATGGATGACGGGTGTGACATGCGGAGACGATTGTGTAGAAGGGGGGAGTCGTACATGATCGCACGAAACGCGCGATAAATAGGATTTGTGAATAATTTAAAGGAAGTCATGTGTCACGGTATTTTTTTGTGTGTTTAACCGCGTGTCACGGTGTCACGGACGCGATAACAGTCGGATAATCTCGGAGCGTAAACTGTTTTGACTAATCCGTGCGCACCTGTTTCCTGTCGACACATTCGGCCGGATAGATAAGCCGAAAATGGCACGATATTATTGTGGCATCAATTCTTTGCACAACATAGCGCGAAACTCTGATCATTGGATGACGAGGTGAAATGAAAAATCGAAAATACTGATATCTCTTGGTCAATCGATCCGAGAACGAGCGCTCAACTACACGGAGAAAATATTGTAGTTAAAATTATCATAAAATTGAGGGCATGTGAGAACTTTTGAAGGTCGTCAATTTATAATTAATGAATATAACAAATTCTGTATGTAAAGATATCAAAAATAAATCTTTGCTAAATACTTTATTTTTTAACAAATCATTTTGCTGTTCACATAGTAAGTGGTAAATTTTGCCGCGAAGTACATTTTTTGCTGCGCCAGCAAATTATTTTCCTTCTGCACAGATTCAATTTTTAGAACCACTTCGAATCAGATATAATAACGCTCACTAGAAAAACAATTCTCTTGATTTATTATTCTATTTATTATTTCTAATTCTATTATTTATTATTTCTAATTCTATTATTCGTTTAATTCTTCGGCTTACGCGATTATAGTTACAAATACCAAAAATGTTTTTCCTCAGTGTGCAGAATTGTTAAAAACAGGAAAGGTTTTGGCAATTCGTACTCCGGGAGGAGCATCAGTTCACGATCGATGTCAGATCGTAGTGGGTGAAAATCCCTCGGGTCTCGATATCTAGAAGCGCATCGACGCCATATGTTAACGTGTAAAAGCCGTTGCTCTATTCTCGCAAAAAGCGACTAATAAAAAGATAACTCGTCGACCTTCGATATAGTCTATGCTTCGCGGCGACTGGACTGTCCGTCTCTTTTCTACCGCTGCGAGTCTCTCTGTCAGCTGTTTTCTTCCATCCTTGTCCCTCTCTTTCTCGCATTGCGCTCCAGTACGTGTATACCCAGCTGTCCGCGTCTCTCTGTGTGTGTGTGCGAACGCGCGCATTCGTATATACGTGTGCGTTGCCAACTTTCCCGTATCATAATACACAGTGAAAGAATGTGGTTTCCCTTTCAAATTACAAAATATATCACGAGAGTGCGCCAATACGCCGCGCACACTTCCTTCATTTCTTTGCGACTCTTGATTTCTCGATCCGAAGAAAGAAACAAATCGAGTTTCAGGTTCGTGTTTTTTTCTCCCTCTTTCTCTTTCCCTATGTCTCGCGATAACAACGCAGGAGAAGGGGGGAAAAAAGAATATCATTTCAGAAGCAGACATCAATCTCGCGTTCAAACTTGTTAATAAGAAAACACACAAGCCCGTCGGTGATGTTTGCATACTTGTATTCGTATTTAATATCGTTCGTTCGTACATTTTCAATCTCACCTGGAGCTCGTTCGCGCCTTCGTCATTTTCGAGCTCGATTGAAAACTCACATCCTGCTGACAAGCGGAACACGACGGTCTCTAAAGACTCAAACTGGAAAGGACAGCACCTGCGTCTGAAACCTTGATTGAGATATTACATTGCCAAGGGGGGAGGGGAGCGGGGGGGGGGNNGGGGGGGGGGGGGGGGGGGGGGGGGGAGCGCCGCGTACAATCGGTGCGCAGTTTTATTACTAAAGGACTTGACCTAGATTATCGGCGAAACAAAAAAAGAAGAGAAGAGAACGACACCCAGGCGAGATCCATCCCGATTGTGAATATCCGCCCCGACGTCTTCGTCGAGCGGCCACGGTATCGCCGCCGGCGACGATTTGTATCATCTTTCGCGTTATTAATTTAGACAGGGAAGGATTTATGTGGGCTGCGCGATGAACTGGGCCAAGGACGCGGGTCTGCATGCGCGATGTGTCAGGCGAACTATCCGGATTCAAGTTCCTTCGCTCACCTATTAACGACAAGGAATATACACGCACGGAAAAAGCAACTTTCTTAGTACACTAATAGAAATTACAGTTATTTTCGTGTATTATTATTGAGAAGCAGTCAGTAGTCACTGGTTATATAGTTATAGTTATAAGTATGGTACTGCGAGTTGGTAAAATTTTGCTGCAAGTCTATTAAGGTGTCCATATGTTACAATTAATTTAGCTACTACAGCTAATCTTTTTATCCGTATATATAAGTACAAAAAAAAACAAAATTCAAATCGAGCTTTGAACACTGTGTGTTGATTAATTTCATCGTATAATTTCCAAGAATATTCACTCAACGAGAATATGCGTGTTCGCTGAAGTGGCGTCCGTATATTCTCCTATGAGCGCACGAGAGGATGCTTAATTGTAAAGAATGGTTCGTACACAACGAGTATAAAAAAAGATTTAATAACGCGGAAAGAGCCGTGCTTTCCCGCGGGTAGATTCACGCGCGGGCAACAGGTTTCCTCCTTCTTCCACTGTGACGACGGCGGCTGCTGTTAATCCGTAATCCTTTCGCCGTAACTTCAGTACTTAAGGATATCCCGCACGGCGGCGAAGCAACGCCACTTGTCCGGTAGGTAAAACGGTTCGAAGATGTGCGGGAAAGGACAGTCCCATCCGGTTACCCTCTGAACCGGCGCCTCCAAGTATAAGAAGCACTCCGCCTGTTTTCGCCAGTTTGTCAATGTGATTATCGTGATTTGATGTGTAATTAGAGCTTATACGATTAGTTCGCTCGACAGCATCTACGACGAACGTGCGCGAAAGAATAAATGATTTATTTGGATTTAATAAAATTTCTGTAATCGGAATTGTCTTTTGAAATAGAACAAACGAATATTTGTTATATGTTATTTATATTAAATAAATTCAAATCAAACAAACACGTATACTAAGTACGTATATTAAATCCAAAGAAATCTTTTTCTCCATGTGAACTTTCAGATTCATATCGTGCAAGGGAAACAGGTTTTCCGATTTCGCGGCGATCTTTCTTCGTTTTGTTCTTTCATCGAAACTGTCTTACTGACGACGATCAATCGTCGGCAATTAATCGGTCAATAAATTCGAGAAACAAGCGTTTAATCGGACACGCATTCGGAACCGGTTTAGTATCTCCGCGTGTAATATTAGCATGTCGCGCGACATCAGGTGTTAGATATTAATCGCTCGCCACATCTTAGCAGGCATCGCGCTCTCAAAATTTCCCGGAGTCAAATTTTACTCGAAAAGTGGAGTGACGGCCGAGTCGTGCTCGGATTCGAAATTTACTTCTACTCTTTAATTCTGACGATGCCTTCAATTTCCATTTTTGCGTCAAAATTGGCTGTTCAAGGTAGCGTTAAAATTCAATCTGTGGAATTACATATTCAAGAGAGACGTTAATAAATGTCAGCATCGTTAAAGTAAATTTTTACTAGTTTATAATATATCTGAATATATATAAAGGCGCAAACTGTCCTTGAGAGCGTCAAAGTAGCATCAAAATTTCGATTCGGGTTCATTAATACAGAAATCTACTATAAGCTTGAAACATTCGCGATTTCGTGTGACGTTGTCTCCACTATCACTCCGAATGAAAATACTGCCACTTGTTTTGAGTGACATTTCACTCGAAGAAATTTCGGGAGCGAATACTCTTCCGAGATAACGTTAGTTCGTGCATCAGTGTCGCACAATATGTACCGCGCGCGCATGCATCTGGTGTGATTGCGTTATGGATGCCTTTATAGACCGGCGGCACTTTCTATTTACAATTGCGTAAACGGCTACGGTTTTGTATTGTTGCCGCGAACCCGAGAATGTCCGATGGGGGAGAAGCCAAGGAAATCACCTTCTTACCTGTACGGTCGCGGCTATCTCTGCCCCGAATCCGTTCGTCATCGGCGCTTCGTGGGCGATGACGACGCGTCCAGTTTTCTTCGCCGACTGCAACACACATAAACACGCATTTTGCGGCGCTCGGCGTAATTTATCGGTCGCGCTCGGTCGTGGCGAGATCAATTCGCGCGGTGATTTACGTCTCGTCCCATATTGTGTCGCCGTATAATAATAACTCGTGCGTGTGTGTACGCGCGGCCCCCGATGCTAAGTGGCCGCGTCGCATTAACGCACCGGCCGAGCGGCACGAGCCGTTTTGTAACGGCTATCAAATGCAGGCTACACGTGAGACCGACGACGGCTGGCGATCGGGACACATGTGTGTGTACGTGAACATATCTGCTCTCGTTGTTGTAAATCATTGACAAAGGTAACCAGATAAGTGAGCGCGACTCGCCGCGCCGGATACGCGCAGGTTGACATTTTCGACTCGTGCCGCGACCTCCCTCGCAAACTTTCCGGAGTTACCGCGGCCTTTCGTTATGGACAGACCCCCAAGCAGGGAACCCTACTCTCAAAACTTCCCGGGCTGAAATTTCACCCGAAAGGTAGAGTGACAGGTCACTCGAGATAGGGCGACTCTCCATTCTGAATCGTCGAGTGTAATATAGCACGGTGAATTCTTCCAAGTATTCCTGTACCTTTTCGTCCTTTCCCGAATTCTTTAGAAATTCACAGAATAATAATTAACTAAGAATGATTCTGGATGTTACATGTATTATAAGAGGGAGATTTCACCCTGAGAAATTTGAAGCGTGCACGCTTCCACGCTTATCGGATTGATATTTACTATATTCCGTGGACGTGTGTCCGCGCGACAATTAACCTTTTAACAGACGCTGCACCGTTGTCGTCCGATTTCTCGATTTCGAAACGTGAAAAATCAGCACCTACCGATACGCTATTCAAAGCATAGAGTGAATATTACGGTCAGACATATCAGAGTTAGAGATTACAATGAATCTGTTTCTGTGACGGTACGCGTCGAATTCACTCTTCAATTTCGAAGGAAAATATTCACACTCGGTGATTCGGAGTGGGGAATTCACTCTATGAGTGAAAAGTCGAGTTTTCGTGATGATTCGAAATTGTTGTAAAAAGCACTGACAGAAATCCTACAAATCTCCCTAAAATCATTTTAGTCATTTCCGGCCTCAACTATATCTTCTCCTGGTTCTGGCCCAAAAAATAATAGTAACAATATGTACATAAGATTATTATCACTGACACTATAAGAGCGCTTGCTAAAAAAAAAATGCTTCTCGTTACTGCGATTCCTTCACTTACGGGATTGCAGTTACAAATAGCGAAAAACTTGCGCCTCAGCGAAGGGTTGCTTTCGCACAGGACAGAAATGTCAGGAGTACGGGGGCCCTGTTGAAAATAGAACCGTGACACGTCGGAATCGACAATTCGCCGCGTAATGATACCCGTAATCGAAACGCTCGTCCCATATTGCCCATGTATTTACCAGCCACCCTGAAACGACGCAATCAACGAGTCTCCCGTCAGCCTCTTCGCGCGAGTTACAACGATCTCTCTCGCCGAAGCGATGTATCAGAATTTCGTTCGAGCGGTCTCGTTACGAAACTGCGCGCGCGGAGTTTTGCAGGCAGGCGAGCAGACATCGGCGTCGGGTAGACAAGACGGCGAATCCGCGACTGTATCGAAATTGCGGCGAAACGGGTTTCCAATTACGCTCACCTCGGCGTGTACATACATACACACACAGGTATATACGCATACTCAAGCAAAGAGTTCGCGCGTACAGCATATAATATCAGCGGTTTGTAAACCGTGAGCGCGTACTGTACGATCGGCATATCATTAAGCGACCGGAGATCGATTAGCATAAATCAACGCGATATTAGCGTCCATGGAAATCCGTGCTATCGTAACCCGAGGGGGGCATGCGCTCACGACCACTTTTCATCTTGACTGTCGAACGGCGACAACATCCGCTTCTATCGCCGGCGCGCTGCATCGTCGTCAATCGCCGTAGATCGCGCCGCGAGATTTCCTCTCGCTTCGCCCGACATTCCGCCCTTATGGCCGAGTACGAATGAAACAGCGATCGCGCGTCGTCTGCATGTGGGCGTCGTAGCCGGTGATCATCGAAATATTCGCTCGTTTCACGGTTGCGACGGACGTCAACGCGACCTCGGGGACGTGAAAGAAATATAGGAACCAGTTTTACAATAATCGTTACTATAGTGTCGGGGATGATAACATGCATATTGCTATTGTTATTTTGGAGTTAAAATCAGATGAAGATATAGTTGAAAATGATTGTAATTGCTAGTGTTTACCATTAACATAGGCCTGAGTACCGCGCAGAATCGGGTCGCAATGGATCTCGCTCGCTCGTACGTTATCGCGCGCGGAACGGCCGTTTCAAGGAAAATGTCACAATAACGCGGGGGAAATGAGATTGCCCACCTTGCAGATGAGTTCCGCGTCCCAAGGTAGGATGGAGACGAGGTCTATCACCTCGCAGGACACGTTGAGCTTCTCCCGGACCAGGTCGGCCACCTCCAGCAGTACGTGCACCTGAGTGCCCCAGCCTACGAGTGTCACGGCGTCACCTACGCGACAAACCGAGCAAATCATACGTACGTAGGTACAAATGCGAGCGCGAATGCGCGCATAGTCGCATAATAATCGTTTCACCTTGCACAACGGACCTCGCGCGCCGTTGCGCGAACGAGCGTGTGTATGCGCGCGCGTTCCTTCTGGCGTATCCTGTTTCAGGACCGGTCATCGGCGAGAGTGCCGCTGCTCCGGCGATTGGATAATGGAAGGAGACGATTACACTCGGTAAATTATATTCGCGGAGAGAGAGAGAGAGAGAGAGAGATCGCCTACGGCGCGAATCGTTGCTTTCCGTGGCTTTAAGTAATGTCCCTTACGCGCCTTCTTTTCTTCGTCGGGAGAATACACGTTTCGCGATGAATGCGAGGAGAAAGGGAGAGGGAGGGAGGGAGAGAGAGAGAGAAACACGATCGCTTTATCCGCGGAATTTCTCCGAAGGATGATCTTACCGTAAATGTTAACCAAATCGCAGCGCGTGATCGTTTCCGCGTTGCAATCTGGCTCGAGCGTTTGGTCACGCGGATTGTAAATCCATCGCCGAATAGGCTAAAAAATATCGCCATTCAAGCGATGTTACTGCCAGCCGATTGATGTAAATGCCATTAACATCGATAATCATTATTGATTTCAACGTAGGGGAAATAATGCAAGTTACTTGTAATGTCGTTAGCGTTACAAGTTACTTTTTTTCAGTAACGACTTGGTAAGGTGAATGTCCCAGTTAACGACGGCGTCCCAATTTGCGATAATCGTATCTGTTATTCTTAATAAATGAAATAATGAATCGTCACCTGTTAGTGATATAAACATACGTGTGTTACAAATTAGGACAAAATTCAAGTTACACGCTTCTAAATGGTACGTCACTTTTGAGAACATAATATGGATTAATTAAAATTTTAAATTAAAAAAAAACCTAATACAATTAAAATTTAATGTTTAAACTTTCGGAAAAATATATGTTATGTACTTAACACGTGTATTATTATAATAATTTATCAATTTATTTTCACGATAAGATTAGTTAGAAGTCACTAATTGGAACTTTCACCTTAACTATATTATTATTGTTCGTTAGTAACGGTGGCGTAATTATATCTTACGCGTAACACTAACGAACATATTGTAACAACTTGTTGTTTCTTGAATAATGACAAGGATAACGAGTTATTTTTCAAAATAAGTCATAGCGACGAATTATATTTTTTTATGTTCCAGTTTTCTCGCTGTAGTCATTTTGATTAATAACGACTGCAGCGAGGAACCAGAAGGAGTCTTAATAGATAAAGAATAACGAGTAACGAGTTACTTTTAAAAAGATGCCTTTCAAACTCCGTTTCAAACACGACTGAGCGCTAAACTTAAGTTGGTCCGTAAATTTTTCTTTCTTTAAATTTTTCTTTCTAGAAATCTTTTTAAATTTTAACTTTAAAAATTTACAAGATCGTTGATCGTCTAGTTTTCCAGAAATTGATATGTAAAATATATAATTTCTGATAACGGTTGTAGTATATATGACAGCTTCTTCGTGTTGTGTTAACCATTACCTTTCTAACAGTATTGTCACGGACCAATTGCTTTAAACATTGAAACGATACCGATCGTTACCTTCTCTCACGACCTCAGCCTTGCCGATTTCGATCTTGTAATGTTCCACGGGCACTTCGTCGACTGCCTTGCGATACAAAATCTTGGGCTCAAACATAATGCATGGATCCGGCTCGTCTATGCAGCTCAACAGTAGGCCTTTCGCGTGCATCGCTCCGCGAGGTACGACTATCTAAAAAAAAAAAAAAAAGGGAAAGAAACTCTTGTGAAAGAAGAAAGAAAAAGAACCGCATACTTGTTCCTCGCAGTTTTCTCGTTCTCTCATAGCGGGTCCGCCGCTCGATAATCGGCCATTCTCCGGCGGCCTTAAAAGACGCGTGAAATTGATCAGGTTCAGGAAATGTCGGCACGATATTGCGCGGCGATATTACGCGTCTCTCTCGTAATCGCGATGTACGACGGTCGCGCATTAGTGTGCGGGCAAAAACTTTCTTCATACATACGTAGAGTGTATACGTCGTACAATATTCATGGAATTTGTTGGGGAAGAAAGTTGAGAACTCTCACGGCTCTTCGACCGGCGCGGAATACAGCCAGAGGTACGAGGAAGAATGTCCTTGATGATGGAAATTTGGTAACGCGATCGCGCAACTTCCCCGACAGAGAGATACTTTAAGTGATAATCATTGAATTATATGAATCGAGGCTCTACGAAGAAGGAAGCATGCGATTTATTCGTACGGACAATTCCGCTAGTGTAACTAAATTTTTCGTCGCCCGCATGGAGAAAAATCATTTTGAGGGACAGCCAATTTTATACTGTCGTAGCAAATAAATAAATATATATAGGATCTTTTTTAAATACTGTCCAATAATTTAGGATTTTAAAAAGACAAAGAACGGCACATTTGCCAACCTTTAGGCCGGGGGTGTGCGCAAAATAAGCCTCTGGACTTTGAGAATGATAAAGGCCGCCGTGACCAACTGCTCCGCAAGGTGCGCGAACTGTAAGTTTGCCACAGTCAAACATGTTGCCACTTCGATATCGCACTTTAGCCGCTTCGTTTACTAACTGTGAATACAACAAACATACGTATACATAGTATTATTTAAATAATTTTAAACATATTACCCTTGCACTCTGTATGATTAATTGTGTCGAAAAGCTATTAGTAAATTGATTCGACTAGCACCTGATCGAAAGCCGGAAATATATAATCCGCAAATTGTATTTCGGCGATCGCCGATACGCCAACGTTGGCTAAACCGATTCCAAAACCGACGATTCCTTGTTCACAGAGAGGCGTGTTGAAGACACGGTTATTGCCGAAGCGCTTCTTCAGGTCCATGGTGCAGCGGAAAACACCACCGAATGCTACGTCCTCGCCAAATATTACTGAAAGTTTCAAAGAATCTATTAACCGTGAATTTCGAAATTATTTCCTACAAAAGATATACAAATAAAATTTGGGATTTGATCTGAACTAGAAGATAAAGACAATGGAAAAAAGTCATTTAGAGAGACCAATTTGTATACATATTTTTTTGTAAATACGCAAATTGTCAAATTGCATGAAGAAATTAATTTATTAAGAAGAAGAGAGAGAGGGAGAGAGGAGAAATTCGAATAAAAGAATAACCATGTGAAAAGTTTTCGTGATATATCAACATTTTTGACATCTTTATCTTCAAGGTAAATTTTATTCCTACTTTATCGTACATTTGTTATTTAAGATTGTTTTATCGTAAATTATATATCTATTCAGGCTTTGAACCTGTGAAACAAGACACTTGCCTGTACGTGGATCATTTTCCATTGCGAGAGCAAGACCGTGATTTATCGCTTGAAACATATTCAGCTTCTGAGTCTCACCTGAAAGTATAGGTTGTTTAAATCATTAAGAAATATCTTGTATGCGGTGTAATGGGGTATTATCTCTCGACCGTATCATTTCCAATCTATATAAACACCAACTGATAGAAATAAGTAATTGAACGACACGAAACGGAATCAATCGCAAAACAGCCGCGAGCTATCGCGACGTGGTCACGTGATATCGAACGTTTTTACAGCGGTGGGTCTTTGAACGAACGTCCGAGTAATTTCAATGTAAAGTTGCCGTTGTGTACGATGATGTATCATTTTTTAGATAAAAATTACGCGATTTTCAGCCTTACACGTATACACATAAGATCGAAAGCGTTATAATTATAGATTCATTATAACTCCATCATGTTATAATTAAAGTTACTTACGCGATGTTCAAGCTTACAGGTTATGACATCAGGCGATACAAATCGCATAATTTTTCATCTAAGAAATGATACGGTATACTTGACGCCGGCTGTACTTTCCATCATCTTTCAACAACATGATTCATGCTGCCTCATTTATTTTAACACCATCTTTTATTGTCAAAAGAATAAAAAGTGATTTGTCGCGACTGCCGTACCGACACTTCGAGAATCGTGATTCGGAAAGGCGATTCAGCGCGAGGCGGAAATGCACTTACCGGCGTTATTCGACCTCTCGCTCGGGTAATACGAAAAGTGCGCTGCTCTGGCATGTTTGAATTCGATGGCGGGAGTGACGACGCGGCTCAACAGCAACTTCTCTCCAGCGTTACGTAGATGCGCACCCAACCTGCCGAACATCGTCTTCTTGTGTTGCAGCGCTTCTGTTTCAGTTACGTGTCCACGTGACCATACGTGCACGTTGCTGAAGATTTCGCTTTTGTCTCGATTTGTACACGATGCAATGGAACAGCGCGTGGGGCAAGACGAACGGCCTCTCGCTCGACCTCACGCGGAATTTCGTAAACAAGTAACGTCCTCGGGCAATCCAACGGTTTCACAATAATGAGTGAACGTTCCAGTACGCGTTCAGCGAGCGGCCACCATTTACGACGCAAGTGTTCGTCTTATTGGCGCGATTTTCCAAATTTCCGACGTGTCGGCCAGCACTTCGAGGACTGGGTCTGCTCTTTTCAATCGAACTGGTTTGTGCTTTTCGCCTTCAGAGTGATTTCCATGATCGAACGATCTGACGTAGACGACTTTAAATTAAATTAAATTTATTCAGAAGTTATCAAATAATGATATTCATTGAAATAATTTAAATAATAAATGAATATGAAATGAATATAAAGTTTAATATAAATATGATATTTAAATAATTTATTGAAGTGGATATTTGCGAATAATTTATTTGTTATTTGTGTTATATATTATTCGTTATTCGTATTTTCGTGTTGTTTGTTATCGATTATTATTTATTACTTGTCTTGCTTTTCTTCATTTATTTCATAGATATAATAAATAAATATTAAGTATTTTTTTTTTCTAAAATTGTTTGTTTTTATATATTATATGTTCACACATATGTACGTACATGAGAGCACGCATACACAGATATTAATAAATGACGAGTAAGAAAGAATGCAAATAACGATCCGACAAACACCAACAGTAATATAACATTACTGTTGCAATTTCCCAATCAACAATATAACTATTACATAACACGCGCGTCATATTGCATTTACATTGTTGAAATGAGAAATTATAACATTGGTTTTATATTACCGTTAGTATTCGCTGGGGATAGATAATTACAGGCATACGAATAACGAATGATGTGTGAATAACGAAATAATGCGAATAATAAATATAAGTGATAAATAAAATTTTACCTAAACAACACGCACGCACCGGACAAAAATTGATTCGAATAATGCCCAATTCTGCCGCTGGCTGATGTTTCGCTGGGTCGTCTCGTTTTCTCGGAATTCAATTGCCAACATGCCTCTCGCTCGTGTTAACGCAGAATCGAGCGATCAATTAGCCGACGCACGCTCGGGACACAGCTCGATCTAGCGTTGCGCGCGAACGGGAACTGGTTTCCTCCGGCGCGTATAGTCTTCGGACGTGTCGCCGGGCAATTCGGAGTGGGAGTAGTTGTGTGATAATCTAGTCCGTCGCCGTTGTACCAAATCTGTTTGCACTTATCTTCGTTGATCACTTGAAACAATCGAGTTTTACTTCGCGATTAGTCGGGCTTTAATCATCGCGAGTGGTCCAGATTCTATTGAAACCTTCAATTCGGTTCTACTTCATATTTAGTGCGACGTATTTCGAAGTTCGACGTGACGTAGCAAATCCAACGTCACATTGGTTGTATTCGGTAAATGTATCGTTACCTCGTTTATATTATCGTTATGTGTTATCATTGTTGTTATCTTATTTTATATTGATTTGCTTAGTTGTTTCGATTGGCCGGCTCGCTCTATAAACGGACTATTCGACGAGGATGACACGCAGTTCACGCGTGAATGAATATGGAAACAATGGGTATTGTACTGTTATTTGTTATACGTGCCACAATGTTGAACTGTCGGTGTTTTGTTTACCTTATCGATAATAGAGAATTGCGAATCAAGGAACTTTCACACAAGGTTCTCCGCGTGCGTCAAGATGGCGCTTCGTACGCCAGCGAATCGATATAACCGGCGTGACGTCGTTCTGTTCGCACGATGCGACGGAAACTGGAGTTTTCTTAGCGTCCCTGTACTGTCAGGCCTGCCATTATAGATTCCTCGTCGAGACGCGACTTTCCAGATCAGAGCATCCAGCTCTCGTCGTGTTGCTTCTCCCGCCGAAGACGTCGTTCACCCGAACCGGGCGATCGTGGATTAATGGCAAATATGAGCGACAGATCAAACAACGGTGATTACAAGTATCAGAGAGACGATGAGGACAATAAATCGAGATTGCCGATGATGGACAAGGAGCAGGACAGCAAGGAGCATCAGATGGACAAAGCCGGCGAGCTCATGCGCGAGTTGCTCCAGGAGAAGATCGAGATCAACCAGAAATGGCCCAACGCGACCCGACTACTCGACCAAGGTGGGTGAACATGTCTCCTCGCCAGCTTCTTTTTCCCCTCTTAATGGATGTTTGGTCACATGAAATGTTTGGTGTATTTTGCAGAAATCCAGAAGATACAAGCTATCGGTAAGCCGCTGAGAGAATCAAAGTATGTGGATATTTATCGTGAGAAACCAGTTCGCATCTGTGTCAAGGTTTTGGTACCTATCCGTGAGCATCCTAAGGTAAGATACCTAGTTACATGATTGGAAAGTAATATATTACACTCGTAACGCTATTATCATTACAAATTATATTTTAAACCAGGGTTGGGTATCTAATTACGTGTAAAATAAAATAATCTGCGTATAAACAATGTAAACAATGTCATCTATGTAGACAGTAAGTAATCTTGTCGAACCGTTATAGAATGGATCATCTTCTTACATTTTGTAAGTCTCATTTTTATATTTTGTGTTTCTGTTAAAAACTCACAGGTAACCTAAATGATAACGTTTATATTTTAACAGCGTATACATCTTTTATATCTGCATACAGATATTTTAAATACGTGAAATGGATTATATTTAATCTAAATAACATATTAAAAATCGGTGAAATTATTTGATTTAAACATAAGGACACAATTTTAGTATTTTACTGTACTAGAAAAAAACAATAGTAGATTTGGTGGACTTGATTTTGCATTGATAAGAAAGGGAAGTAAGTATCATGCATATTATGTTGATTCATATTTATTTATTGTGTAATTACGATCTAAGGAACGCTGCCTTTCCTTAGAAATCCACAGATGAATTTAAATAATAAAATCCTTGTGTTATTTCTGCATATAT